AAGGCCCCAGGCGTCCCCAAGGCCAAGGATGGATACTGGGCACAGGCTGCTAATCGGCTCGTCAGCCGAGAAGCGGGGCCCCGCCACGTGAGGCAAGGATTCCCCAGGAATCCGGACAGTGTCTACTGCTTCATCAAGCCAGAAGAATGGGTCGCCCTCACACAGCCCCCAAGATGCACGAATGGTGGTGGTCCAACCACAAGGAATATCTCAGGCTGCAGATGTGGGAGCTGTCTAGAAATTTAGGCCTGCGATAGGGGCCAACCGTAGCCAATAAAGACCATAGCCAGGGGTTACCCCGGTTTCAAGAATACTTAGTGAGGCGCAGGACATTCAACGGTCATTCTTACAGATTCAGGAAACTGTTTATGCTGACTGAAAAGTGGGGGACTCACCAATCAGAGAAGCAGTGTTGGATGGAGTTTAGTGCGGCCAGGCGAATGGAGAGCGGTCTGTTGCATACGAAGCAGAGTCCCCGGTTTCTGTGTAGCAATCCCCAGTGTATGGGTTTCCAGGTGCAGGGCGCCTGGAAGCACCCGATTGGTCTCGCCACCAGATGTTAGTTATTTAGCAGCGCTCTTACCCTGCGAGGAAATGTCACGAAACATGACAGAATCCACTAAGGAGAGTTTTATTAAGATAAAAGGACAAACAAGTGCTCAGGCCTGCAGAAGAGACATGTATGTGGAGAAAAAGAAGAAGGAGGAGAAGAAGAAAGCCGGAAATATGGCACTGGTTTATAAAGGCTGGGTGGCTCACGCATACACAGGTGGATGTGGCTACTCCACACATGCACAGATCACATGGTTGTATTGCGTGCTCCTACACAACCATGCAAAGCCATGGGGTCCTGGTCATGCAAGACGCCTTGACCTGGAAATGGCTATTTTAACCTGGAACTGGCTAGGCGGAAGTGTCTAGGTCTGCCGGGCATGCGCAAACATGCCCACCGTGGGGGTGTGTTGTGAACCCATCAGTCACCTTTGTAGATTCCTGAGGTTTCAAGCTCATCCCCGAGATGCACCCAATTTCAGTTTACTCTCCAAGTACTCTGTCCCTCCATTCTCCCCCAACCTGTTCCTATCCACCCCACCACTCCTCCACCCTAGATGTCCATTCTATCTGCTCTTCCCATGGCGATCCATTGTCCCCACCCCCTTGAACTGACCTTGTTACTTAGCTTAGCTATGTTCAAAGCAGCTTTATTCGTAATAGCCAGAAACTAGGAACAACCTAGATGTCCCTCAACTGAAGAATGGATAAAGAAATTATGGTACATTTACATAATGAATATTACTGTGCTATTAAAAAGGTAGGCTTTTAATGGTAAGCATTTAAAAGTTTAATACACTGTGGTTCACTTTCATAATATCTAAACTATGGTTTAAGTTTTTAAAAAGTAGTAGTTATAGAGTGAAAGCATACTGATTTGCACATCTGAGTCTCCCTTTGCCAAAGAATTTCCTAGGCTGATTCTCTGAGTATAGAAGGAAAAGGCCCACCTTTGGATGTGGCACCAACTTAATGGTGCTATACTAAACAATGGCCTCTTCCTCTGTGTATAATTTCTATCAAGAACAAACCCTAGATGATTTTTCTGCTTCTGTATCTTCCATGTGCCCTCAGCAAAGTCATTGCCCCCTATTTATTGAAGAGTGCATTAAACCTGGTGTACAAAAGGAATAGGGATTCTTTTTTTTTATTTTTTAAATTACACTCATCACTCATGATATTCATTACTTACACTCATGATATTAATCACATTTGTGGTATTGATAGATTACATTCGAAGTATTTTTCAAATATATATATATGTTTTTTATTTTAAATGTCAAATGTCATCTCTTGAAGGGGGTAGGAGGTTAAATATAGACTTACAGCACAATGGGAGGACCCCGGAGGGCAGAAGTTCACTACTGATGTTTTACAATCTTGCATCTAAGCTGTTAACGCCCATTATTCAGGATACACAGACAAGGAACTTCCCTTAAGCATTCAGGAGGGTGGAATCTGGCAGGGAATTAGCATTGGGAGGATATCTAGGTCAAGGTCTGCAAGCAAGGCAACAGTTACCCAAAACAGGGGCCAGGGACCTGCAGGTCCCCCTTTTATTAAAAAATGAGCTTCTGACTTGGGTTGCGTGGGATGTCAGCAGGTCACCTTACCAGTCATGGAGACGCCTGCCCAGGCCACATAGGTGCTCTGTCTTAGGTTGGTGAGTGCCTTCCAGGTATTACCCGTCTCTGAATACTCATTATCATACCAGATCAATCATGTGAGATACATGGTTAATTGCTGCCAAAGATCTCAAAGTGGCACTGGGCCTGCAATCTGTGTGTTCCATACAGAAAAGACCAACAGAGGTCCTATCTCACCCATAGCCAGTAGGCTAAAGGCAACTGAGCCATTCCCTTCCTTAACGAGCCATACTATATGTTGGAGTCCTTGTAAGATAGTACCCCAAAAGAAACTGGAACTTGCGTTTATAAGTTTATAATTTTCAAAGTTAATCGAGATGCATATAACTACTGAATTAAATTTATCATGCCCAATAGAATGAAAGATTAACTAACTGTGGTAGCTACTTTTGTTGCCAGGGTCTCCACTGTGCTAGCTGTAGTAAGCAATTATGAAATGGTAATCCCAGAAACAGTAGTAGCAGTGTGCATCATTGTTATAACAGCAACAGCAGCAGCAGCAATGTCAGATTCTCTTCTGGATTGTGTGGACGTCCTCTGGCATGGATACAACTCCAGGAACACGAACTACCAAGGCCCGTTTTTTTTTTTTTTTATTCCAGCATGACTTTAGCTGGCAGCTCTTCTGGAGAATCCAATCTCATGGCTACAGTTCCTAGGCTAACATTAATGCTTGCCAAAGCTGGCTATATTGGGCTCTCAATCTCCATTGGCATCAGAAGGGTAGATTTTTTTCATGGAGACCCATTAGGTCTCTGTCATGTTGGGCTTCAGCAGCAGCCACAGTGTGTGCGTTCAATGCTCAGGAATCCAAAGAGGAACCTCATTGTCCTGATGAAAGACATAAACCAAACTCCAGGCCCACACCAACACTAGATTGGGTCTCCTCCACGTGCTAGTAGAAAGATCCTTTCATCGATCCAGAGGGTGATTTGCAACAGGAGCCCTCCAGTGCTTATCTGCATCAGATCCTCTAGCAGAATCCACCGACCGATAAAAAAATTTAAAATATATAAAACAAGGGAAAGAATAGAATGTGGAGAGGAATGATGAGTCCCTAGTTCTCCCTTTTTTTAACTTTAGTAAAATGTTTGTTTGTTTGTTTGTTTAATATTTCAAATTTTTTCTTTTCTTTTTCTTTTTTAAAATTAATTAATTAATTTTTCTATTATCAGCTTGATAGAGTATGTATTCTTATCTTAATAGTGAGATGTTTCATTGAGGTTTGCTCAGTAATTGAGTAAAACCGAAATTTATTATAAGCCACAGTCGTCCTAGGGACCTCCATGCTATATATATAGCCTCCATGGTTCTGTGGGTTGTAGTCTGATTGTTCTTTATTTTATATCTAGAATCCACTTATGAGTGAGTACATACCATAACTGTCTTTCTGGGTTTGGGTTACCTCATTCAGGATTATTTTTTCTAGTTCCATCCATTTGCCTACAAATTTCACGCTTTCATTGTTTTTCTCTGCTGAGTAGTACTCCATTGTATATATGTACCACATTTTTTTCATCCATTCTTCAATTGACGGGCATCTAGGTTGTTTCCAGGTTCTGGCTATTACAAATAGTGCTGCTATGAACATAGTTGAGCATGTATCTTTATGGTATGAATCAGCATTCCTTGGGTATATGCCCAAGAGTGGGATGGCTGGGTCTTGAGGTAGTTCGATTCCTAATTTTCTGAGAAACTGCCATACTGATTTCCAGGAATAGGGATTCTTTTAACTTCCATTTTTGCTGGCTTGTCTGTTTGATTTTGCCTATTCACAGGGCCTAATGTCTTGAATCAAAACAAATATCATTCACAAAGTATGTTGCTTTCATTAGCAGCCATTTGCTGGCTATTCTGGCTTTCCCCAGTGATTTCAGCGGAGGCAAACATGGGTTCCTTTTTTTCAATCTCAGTTACTAATATTAACTCTCATATCACACATCATATAGTAATCACACACACACACACACACACACACACACACATACACACACACACACACACACACACACACGGTAATACATATTCTTATATTTGTGTGTTTATGTACACTATAGAGTGGCTATGAATGATTAAAGAGGCAAGGCATTTCAAGAGGTTTCAAAAGGTGTTTCCTTTCCTGACCCACAATACCACTTGACTAAAAATATATATTTTCAATGTAGAACCACATATTGCTTTCAGTCTTTCTAGTGCATATTTGATTTCAAGGCTGCTTTCAGCTCTGGCTCAGGGTCATGGAAGGGTCACAAAGAAGAGGGACAATATGGTTTAAGATTAAATAGTCCTGATGCATATGGTCAACATTATTGCAAGGTCAGACCACAAAAGTTCAACTCTTGAGGCAAGAGTTATTTCCAGAAAATAAGTCATTCCCTCAGATACTATTTAAAAATTAGCACTTTACCTCCAAGCTTGTCATATTTATTTGTCAAGAGCATGTGTTTGAGTTACATCATTATCCAAAGAAGCAAAGAGCATTGTTTTTAAATGATGTATTTTCTTTTACATGTGTGTGTGTGTGTGTGTGTGTGTGTGTGTGTGTGTGTGCATGTGTAACATGTTTGTGAAGGTTCCAGAGTGGAAAGAAGATGGTATGAGATCCCCCTAGAAATGGAGGTAATAAGTCACCCAACATGGGTGTAGGAAACCAAACTTGGGTTCTCTCCAAGATCGCCAAGCATTGCTAACCACTGGGCAGTCATTCCATCCCACAAAAGATTTACTTGAAAGAGTGTACTTTAAGATTTTATTAAGAACTACAATGAAGGTAGTGATTGTTTTAAATTGTTGGTTTACAGAATGTAGATACTAAAATTTTGGATTGTTGGGTCTCATTAAGTATTTGACCACAGAAGGTAAAATGTTGAAATAGCAGGATCTCATAAGTGAACAGAGCGGTGACAGCCCAGCCTTCTAACTTGTGTCTTACACAAAGATTCACCCAATCTTCTAGGGCTATGAGAATCTGATGACAAAATCTTCAATCTACTGTAGACTTCAGTGCAAAACTGTGATCATAATAATATTCATAGGAAGATGTAGCTCCATCAAAAACTCAACATTTACCATCATGTTTAAATTTAATGGAACCATGGCTTTGTCTATAAAGAAAAATGAAAGAGGTCAAAAAGTTTAAAGAAATTATTAAAAGAAGGCATCAAACTCTTTGAGCAGTGTATTATGTAATTTTCAAAAGAAAATCATTGAATTGTGGACATTAATTTCTCCTTCTATGAACAACTAAATCCTGACTGCTCCCAGCATCCTCATATTTCCAACTGTGGCTGTACTGGGCCCTTTCTACTGTCTCAGCTCTGCCTTAGTCTTGAAGCTTGCCCAGACTCATAAAAGAAAAGAAGTAGGAATTGTAGAAGGCCTTGAGAAAGACATGGCAATTAGAGGATTGTTAAGTGGAAAAGCCATTGAGACCATGTCATGTAAAATAAAAGAAGAAATAATTCTACATGACACATAGCTATCTGATCACAGAGCAGAAAGGACAGAGATATTGGATGGAGGAATCCTAGGAAGTCTTGTGATGTAAAATCTTTCATGGAGCTCAAGGGATAAAAGGATTCTCTCAGGGAGTCACTTTCTAGCATGATACATGGCAGACTATAGCAGAGACACATTGAGCATCAGCGATTTGGTATTATCTCATAATGTTTACACATCTGCAATTAGTATTTCCCAATAATTAAGCAAACTGATTTCTTTGTTTGCACCATGTTCAACACAACTATATTCATAAGTCCCAAATGCAAAAGCCACTTCCAAAACTCACAATATTAAAGGGAGGTACATATGTTTCTTTGTCTTTCATAGCACATTGGTTTGGTAAAGTCATATTTTTCTGTATATTATGATCATGGAACACCAATAACACAAACCTAAGATTTTGCTGCTAAGTATTCATTATTTAGAAAGAACTTGTATTTATTATAATATTCTTACCTGTGTGCATTACAGAAAGCACATCTGTTGCCATAAGTATAGCCATCGGTCCCACAGACTGGTAAATACTCTTTGGTACAAAATCCACGAGGACTATATATTCTACATTCTGACTGAAAAACACACAAAGATAACAGAAATGTATTAGATGATGGGGTATTGAATAAAATGTTCTTCATACTTAGTATTTAATATCATACAAAAGAGTTTAAATATAATCTACACATAGATGTAAAGGATATACAACACATATAAAACGTGAAAATAATTATATGTTTAGTTTGTAAGCCTCTACTAATAAGAACACCACACAGATGGTGTAACATGATCTTGTAAAGCAGCCAACTCACATTATAATTATATGATTCCTCACCAGACAACATTCCGTTCATCACCCCCATTACTAGGTTGAATTTTTTATTGATTGTTCTCTTATTCCTCTGTAAATTCTCTGCAATTCAATGAATGTATTTCCTGTATATTTACATATCAATGCATCTCAATTATGTGCATGTTTATAAACACACATTTGCAATTTATGATACTTTCGTAATTTATACAAAAACAGCAACACTATACATATTATATGCATTCTACTTACTTCTTACATATTCTTGTGACACATATATGACACAGATATACAGATATATTCATGTTTACTTACAATTCATTTATTTTCAAATTTAACATTTATTTCAAATGTAACATTATATCATGTGAGTATATGGAAGTCATCTTTTTTAATGTTAAGTTAACCATTGAGCTGTTTCCACTGCTTGTATAGATATTGAATTATACATCTAATTTCCAATGGTTGGAATTTAGGATTAAGATACTCATTCTTGTATCTTGTATCAATAATAAGTGGACTTGCATTTCTTGATTGATGTTGTAGACTTCTTGCAATGAAATATACCATTTTTTAATGTTTGAAGAGCTTATTTTCTTTGGTAAGTTTTATATTATATTGCTTCATTTATAAAAAAGAAAGCTTTACATTTTAAATTTCCATAGAAATAATAGTAACTTACTTCATTCCAGGTAAATGCTGATATTAGAGAACTTTCTGAAAACAGAGCAGAGAAGACAGATAAAAATGTATAAAAACAACATTATCCACTTTGTTTATTGTGATAAGTACCTACATATAAATGTAGCAGACATTGATGTAAATTGAGTATTCCTGTAAGTAATAAATGAGAATTTTGTGGCAGTAGTAAAACATTAACTAAAAATACATGCATAGCTAAACAATTCTAATTTCCAAATATATATATATATATATATATATATATATATCTGTGAAAAGTAATATTATATACTATGCTCCTATTCAAAAGTATCATGTTCCATTTGTTAATAGATTTGGGGTTATTAATATTATATAATTTTATAAGTGAAATACCCTCACATCAGAGTTCAAAATGTCTTCCATATATTCACAGAAGTTGGAAAATAATTAATCAGCTATAATTTCAAGGTTCTAGATAACATTTCACAAATTCTCACTTTGAAGTTCATAGCTAGTCTTTAACTAGACTGAGGATGAAACAATCCCTAATGGAGGCCTTGCCTTAGAGGTTCTAAGGCTGTCAAACAAATTGGATTTCTAAGGAATGGCATATTTAAAGATGTTATCCTTGCCTTGACATTGCATTTACCTATAGGATTTAGTTAGCAATCTGGAGTAATAATAGCAGAGACTGAAAGTCTGCACAGCCTGTTCTAATCCTCTGCTCTCTGTAGCCTTCTCCAGTGTCAACTGGTTAGAAAAGCAATCCACCACTGTAATCTTAGAGATATTTAAACAAGTCCCTTTAAAGACTGCAACACAAATAAGACAAGCTCATTCATTCTTTTGTGGTTTTTCAGAGATTTTTACCTCCCTAAATTATTTAGAATATGCTAAAGTTCTGATCCAGGACAGGAAGATGTACTCACCAGAAAAAAGAAGAAATGACAAGGTGATGTACATAACTCTTGAGAAGACCAACATTTTATGAAGATACACAAGAAATCTTCGGCTTGTCAGTAAACAGGATACCTTGAACAGCAAATAAAAACAACCAGGGATCAGTCTGACAGTATTTAATTTTTGTGAAAACAGTTCCATTCAACTAGACTCCTAATTAAGATAATATTCTCTTTTATCTGTTTCTAAACAACGATTTAACAAGATCAAAAAATATAATCACAGAAGACCATCCAGAGATTTAAAATAGATATATATAGAGAGACAAACAGAGAGAGAGAGAGAGAGAGAGAGAGAGAGAGAGAGAGAGAGAGAGAGAGA